CTGAGTTCAAATCTGGCCTCAGACACATAACACTGACTGTGTGACCATGGGCAAGTGAGTCAGTCAAGCCCACTGCCTAACCAAAAAAAAAAAAACTAGGGTGACAGAGGAACTTGGTCCAGCCCCAGTTCTGATGCAACCCAGGGGCAGCAGCTGCTTCTGGAGCTCTCAGCCCACAGACTGCAGGGGAATCTAGTGGCTGATCAGAGAAGGATTACAAGGATCTCTTTGCTGGTGCTGAGGCAGGATTCTCTTGCTTTGCCCATGCTTGGATCTGGGTCACAGTTCTGAGTGGCAGTCCTAAGGCCAGGAGGAATGCTGGTGTGGTGGAGCTCGTAGTGGGGGTGGAGAGGAAATCCTCCTCACAGTTCCAGGTAGAAAACTGCTTGTGGTCACTTATAGACCAGAGCACAGGCCAGGAAAGGAGTAAACACCTCACCCCTGATCATACCACCTTAGAAGAAGTGAAAATTTACAGGTCTCTAGAAGTATCTCTGAAAACACCTGCACAAAATCCCCAAAGTTTGGAATAGTACATTCTCCATAGTGGAAGCAGACCCCTACCTTAACAAAGAGTTTATAACTCAAGTAATTGGCTGGGATCATGATCAAACTGTGCAAAAAGAAAGTCAGACCATAGAATCATTCTTTGGGGACAAAGAAGATCAAAACATACAACCAGAAGAAGACAAGTCAAAGCTCCTATATCCAAAGCCTCCAAGAAAAAATATAAATTGGTCCCAGGCTGTGGAAGAGCTCAAAAAGGATTTTGAGAAGTAAGTAGGAGAAGTAGGAGAAGAATTGGGAAGAGAAATGAGAGTGATGCGAGAAAATCATGAAAAACAAGTTGACAGCTTGCTAAAGGAGGCCCAGAGAAATACTGAAGAAAATAACACCTTAAAAAATAGCCTAACCCAAATGGCAAAAGACGTCCAAAAAGCCAATGAGGTGAATGCCTTCAAAAGCAGAATTGGTCAAATGGAAAAGGAAGTCCAAAAGCTCACTGAGGAAAATACTTCCTTAAAAATTATAATGAAGCAAATGGAAGCTAATGACTTTATGAGAAATCGACACATTATAAAACAAAACCAAAAGAATGAAAAAGTAGAAGGCAATGTGAAATATCTCATTGGAAAAACACTGACCTGGAAAATAGATCCAAGAGAGATAATTTTAAAATTGTTAGAGGGGCAGTTAGGCAGCGCAGTGGATAGAGCACTGGTCCTGGATCCGGAAGGACCTGAGTTCAAATCCAGCCTCAGACACATAACACTTACTAGCTGTGTGACCCTGGGCAAGTCACTTAACCCCACTGCCTAGCCAATTGGACTACCTGAAAGCCATGATCAAAAAAAAGAGCCTAGACATCATCTTTCAAGAAATTATCAAGGAAAACTGTCCTCATATTCTAAAGACAGAGGGTAAAATAGAAATGGAAAGAATCCACTGATCACCTCCTGAAAGAGATCCCCAAAGGAAAACTCTTAGGAATATTATAGCCAAATTTCAGTTTCCAAGTCAAGGAGAAAATATTACAAGCAGCCAGAAAGAAACAATTCAAGTATTGTGGAAACACAATCAGGATAACACAAGATTTAGCAACTTCTACATTAAAGAATTGGAGGGTTTGGAATATGATATTCTGGAGGGCAAAGGAGATAGGATTACAACCAAGAATCACTTACCCAGCAAAACTGAGTATAATCCTTCAGGGGAAAAAATAGACATTCAGTGAAATAGAAGACTTTCAAGCATTCCTGATGAAAAGACTAGAGCTGAATAGAAAATTTGACTTTCAAATACAAGACTTAAGAGAAGCATAAAAAGGTTAACAGGAAAGAGAAATATTAAGGGACTTATTAAAGTTGAACTGTTTACATTCCAACATGGAAAGATGATATTTGTAACTCATGAGACCTTTGTCAGTATTAGGGTAGGTGAAAGGGAAAAAATATGTGGATAGTTAGATAGATAGATAGATAGATAGATAGATAGATAGATAGATAGATAGATAGATAGATAGATAGATAGAT